CTTACAGTTTAATTATTAAAAAAATTATTATTTTTTAATCTGAAATTAAAAATAAATAAGTATAATGATACAATTATGTATACAGGATACATGAACCGATTGAATTAACAGTATTTATATTATATTTTTAATAATTAAACTGAAAAATATTAAATCAGATGTTGAACCGGTAGATGTACCAATTATTTCCCATATATATATGTATTTTTGTTTTGATGAGAAATAAAATTTTATTAATATATGAAAACTATTAAGGTTATAGGATCAATCTGAATGAGGAAAATGCAATAAGTATCATACTCAAAATGTATGAAAATACAAAATCAAATAATTTAATACTTATATAAATGTTGTAATGCCAAACCAGAGCTTGAGATTTAGCAAATTAAATCGTATTTCAACATAATTTATCTAAATAAAAAATAAATTAGTTTGGATAGAAAAATTTAGTTAGGGACTCCATCCCAACCATATTTTCAACAATTGAAGCAAGCACAATAATTAAACTTAGTTTAACTAATATCGTGTTCAAGTTGCCCTCCTTTTCTCTTACTAAAGAAATGACTCTTTTACTTAATTTAAGAAAAATACATAAATATTAAATGTATCTATGTATTTAATGTGGACCGTGATTCGTGCACACACCCGGATTCAACACCTGGGTGTGCACACTCCACATAAAACAAAAAAAATAGACCGAGTGTTCTCCATTTTTTTTCTTTTATGCAGAGTGTGCACACCCGGATGTTGAATCTGGGTGTGCACACATCATTTTCCATTTAATGTCATGTGAATGTTATTAGTTGAGCTACTACTAACTATTATACTTAGTGTTTGATAACTATTTTTCAAAATGTGTTGTGTAATTGTAAAATTATTAGAGTAAATTAATCAAAATATTAATTAAAATTTAAAATTTTTTATTTTCACAATAAAATGAGGTTAACTTGAACGACTAATTAGGGCCTCAAAAGGCCACGTTTTTTTTTTTTTTTTATTATATATCTTTTACACATTCCTTTCGCCCAAAATAATTCTAATCTTTTGACTTTAAACTTATATCAAATTAATTGTTGTTTTTTAATTTTTAATGTAGGTAAAATTTTTTATTTTAACCCTATCATTATTAATTTATTTTTATTAATCATCCTATTACAAAAATCTCTTTTTATCTTTTTTTTTTTTTTATAAAAGCTGATATAAATAAATATTAACTACATAAATTGTCCTAAATAATTAATTAGGAGAAAATGTAAAAATGTAAAAGTTACTTTGGATAAAGAGAGTAATGTATAGAATAAAAAAATTGTTTTCCAATCTAAATTACATCGAATTATAAAGGTT